GGAGGGGGGGAGGGGGGGTGCTTTTCGCAGGTGGCTCCGGGGGCCGAGGCGGAGGGGGCCGGCCGGGGCATGCGACTGATCTGTCTGATGGCAGGGGTGCGGCCTCCCGGGGACCAGATGTGCGCCAGATGCCGGCCCCCGCTCACGGGGGGGCGGGGAGGGGACATGCGCCGGCCCGCGAAACGGCGCGGAACGGTGCCCATGCACGCGGGAGGACGCCCCGGCCCCGGGCGGCGGCGGCGGCACCAAGCGACCAGCCGGACTAGAAGGGCCCGGCCGCCGCCGCCGCCGCCGCCGCCTGGGCCTCCCGGCGTCCGGGCCCTCGTCTCTCTCCACGGGTCGGCTGCCCGTCTCGGGCCGGGGGGCTGGCCGGAGGATCTTTCCAGGATGCGTAAGAGCGGCCGTGACCCGAGGCGGTGGTGGGGGGTGGGGGGGTTGCACGGGACTCGTCCCCCCCCCCCCCCCGGCAGTAGGGCGCGCAGCCACCGGGCCTCGGGCCCGGCCTGGGAGACTGGCCTCGCTCCGGGCCTGGGCGACATTAATCAAACACCAGCGGGGGGGATCTTTCTCCGGCCGCCCCGCGCCGCTGGCCTGTGGGTGGTTCTGGGCGGTGGCGGCCTGGCCACCCCCGGCCGGGCGCCGGGGGAAATTAGCGAGCGAGGGCGGCACCGCACCACACCGCCAACAGCAAGCAGGGAAAGTATGCGGCGTGAGATCCGGAGACGTTCCCCCCGCACGCCCGCCCTCCCCCGCACGCCCGGTCACCGTCGGGCGGGGACACCCTGAGCTACACAAACACCGGCATATATGTATATTTTCGGACCTGGGGGCGGCGGAGCGGCCCCGCATGGCGGGAGCCGGAGCCAGGCGCCGTATTTGGATATAAAAAATAAATGCCCCCCCGGACGAGGGGGGTGGCCTTGCGGGCGCAAGTGAACATGCGCCGAGCGCGCGCGCGCGCGCGCCCCCACGCGCCTGCAGGAGGCCCAGACGACCGGGGCACCCTTCCCGGGCAGGTCCCCCTCTCTCCGGCCCGCTGGACGCCCTGACCCCTCCCCCCGGGTCCCCGTCCGGGGCGCAATAAAGACCGGGGTTCATACGCCGGCTGGCCGGTCAGGATGGGAGACGCGCCGGGAGAAGCGCCCCGCGATCCGCCACGAGCCAGCCCCGCGCCGCCCCGACGCACGCTCGCTCCCTGGCCCGGGGGGCGCCGGCAAATACACACGCGCATGCGCGCATGCCCCGCCCGCGTCTGCCGGATGGATCGAAACAAACAAAACAGCAAGATTACACAGAGATGGCCAGCCCGTATGTTTGCCGTGCTCACGTTCTCTCCCCCCTCCCCCCCCGCCGCGCGCCCTTGCCAGCAGCTGCCTGTCCTGGCCGGGCCGACCGGCGCACGCGCCACCCCGGCCATCGTTGTTCGCTCGATCATTGAATCGGCCCGGCCAGCAAGCCAAGGGCGGCGTTTGCGCCCGGGGGCCGGCCCCCCTTCCGAGGGTGCGCTGCCGCGAGGCGCGGGGCGCCAACCGGGGGACCACATCGGCCACGGCACGGTGGTCGGGCCGGGCTGGGGGGGCTGCCGGTCCGCGG